CACTCAATTCTTTAACCATCGCGGAAATGGAGGTTATGGCGTCACGCTTTTTATATGCGGCGGCCATTTTGGGCAGGCGCCTGTGTGCCTACTACTTTCTCATCAAGGCAGTGCGACGGCGATGATTGGCACTTAACCAAGGGATTGTGCTGGAGACATCCCCGGCGAACCTTCCGCCGGCAGCGGTTGGTTTGGGCGAGAGATTACGACATATGATCGAGAATATAATCGTAAGCGAATCATCAAGCCCACGGAAAAGGCATCGGCCGCCATCATCACGGGTGCATCGCTCCATGGATGGGGAGCCGTTTTTATTCCAGACTCCGGCGACGTTGAAATTGCCGGAGGGAAATGGGAGAGGAAGCCTTTTCTTATCATGCAGGCCGAGGCGCGCGTGGTACGCTTAGCCTTATCGGCTCTTTCCGCCATCTTGCCACCCACCATGGACGTTGGGGCGCACAGCACTTCGCTGCGAGGAGCGGCGAATAAATGCAGCTCAAAATAGCACGCCATGACGTGTGAGCTGCAATGGATACAAGGGCTTTTGGACTCCCGCGGAGCACAGAAAAACTTTGCCTACGTACGGTCTGCGGAAACCCCCGCAGATGGCGTGTCACGCGGTCGCGTGTTCACACACGAGGACCTGGCGAAGGAGTGGAACTTGCGAAGGGTAGCGGCGGAGTCTTTTGGTTGGAGGACCCCAAAGTCTGCCACTTCTTAAGTAATATATGTATATATCGAATCCGAGTAGAGTGAGCGGGCCACAACTGTGGCTAATGGATGATGTATATATACATACACTTACTTGGTGTAAACTTTGAGGTTGTGGTGAACCCACTCGTATTCCATTTACTTCTCATTCCCGTCTTGTTTGATTTCTGTGATTGATAACCTCAGGATGAGGAAACCGGCCCAGGTGAATATTTATTTCGTGTCGCCGCGTGAAGCACCGCATTCCATTGAAGGCGGGATGGCTGTGCAAATTTTGGTGACGCGTGACTGGTGGATGGGTGAGGACCCACTTCAACGTGTGGCTGGCGGGGTGGGTGCTCGCTCCGGGTGCGTTGTGTGTTGGCTGTGGGGATTTGGCCGCATCCCGTTGGCCGTGGGAATGTTCTGGAGGCGGTGGGTCTCTTCTCCTCGTCCATGGTGGGTTGCTGCTGCCGGTGCGCACTGGTTTCCCTTGCAACTCGCTGTGTTTCTCCTCCATGACTTTTTCCATTTCCTTCACACACAAAAAAAGGAAGTAAAACAAGCGCGAATCGCTACTGTGCACTCTGAGGGCTGTGAAAGGAACAACAACAGTACACACACACCGCCCACACACACGTATTTATATACTCCCAAGCGTTGCTGCTGTGAAGGCACCCCACACACACTACCGTACTCGCGTGACCGGATCCAGCGAAAAGAAGAAGGAAGGAAGAGAGAGTGAGCCGCGGAGGCCCAACATGTCCCGGCATCTCTTCCATTCTGCGGTGCTGCTTCTCCTCGTCGTGTTATGCGGTACCAGTGGGGCTGCACACGCTGTGCAGACGAAGACTGACGTTGATCCTTTTACAGGGATTGGATGGACATCCTCTCAATGGGAAGGCTCTACAGAAAGTAATGAAAAATTCTTCTCGCTCCGCGTTCCCAGCCTTGTTGAGGTGAACAGTGCTGTGTTCGTGGTTGCTGAAGCGCAGTGCAAGGAAGACAACGAAGGCTGCAGCCGTGCTGGGATCGCGTCAAGACACCTCGATCTAAGTGATGATAAGCCAACGGAGATATTGACGAGAAACACAAGTTTGTTGATTCCGTTTCCAAAGGGTGCTGCTACAGGTACCGCCAAGGCAAAAGACTCTATGCGGCCAACGACAGTTGTGGCTGGCGACAGTGTCTACATGCTTCTGAGAAATCAGAGCTTTACGACGTCGGTGGGTAAATTGGCTACTGTACGTGACTGGGGACTTTTGCTGGTGAAGGGAAGTGTCCGTGGTGGAAATGAAATCACGTGGGAGGAGACCCATGCAGTAACATTTGGAAACGATGAACGCATTACCAAATTTTTGACCCAGTTGGTTTCTGGCGGAGGATCGGGGATTAAGACAAAGGACGGTACACTTATGTTTCCCATGCAGGCCACAGATGAGAAAGAAAAGACCTCATTGCTGTCCATGCGCTTTGATAAGTCAGAGAATAAATGGAGGCTTTCGCACCAAACGGTTGGTGATGGCTGCAGGGACCCGACCATCGTGGAGTGGGGGGATGACAGATTCCTCATCATGGCTTCTTGTGAGCGAGGTTACCGTGACGTGTACGCATCCACTGGGAGTGGGGTGGATTGGTATCCAGATGGTGAGACAATTACTCGCGTGTGGGGCAACTCACATGATCGAAAAGGGTACGGCGTCCAGAATGCCTTCATCAAAGTGACAATTGAGGACAAGGATGTGATGCTTGTTACCCTGCCAGTGTATTCCAAGGACAACAGAGAAAACAATAAAAAAAAGGGTCGGCTTCATCTTTGGCTGACGGACAATGCACGCGTGTATGATGTTGGGCCGATATCCCGTGAAGATGATGACGCTGCCGCCAGCTCCCTGTTGATGAAGAGTGGGAATGAAAAGTTGATCTCAGTGTACGAGAACAAGAAGGGTGATGACGGGTCATACAGTCTTGTCGCCGTGAGCCTGGGGAAGCAGCTGGAGCGGATCAAATCCATGGTGAAGAAATGGAAGGATTTGGACAGCGCCTTGCTATCATGCCGTTCCGGTTCCAGCGCCACTGTCGACTTGCCAAAGAAGGGTATGTGCAATGGTCCTGTTCCCACTGATGGGCTTGTTGGCTTCTTGTCCGGTAACTCAACTCAGACCGAGTGGAGTGACGAGTACCTCTGCGTGAATGCAACTGTGAAGAATGGGGAGAGAAGGGTTCCCAATGGATTGACGTTCAAAGGGTCTGGAGCAGGGGCGGTGTGGCCTGTTGGCGACATGGGGCAGACTGTGCCGTACTACTTTGCGAACAACAAGTTCACTCTTGTGGCGACGGTGTCCATCCACGAGGTGCCGCAGAGTGGCAGCATTCCTTTGATGGGTGTGAGAATGAATGACACCAGCAGCACGGTGCTCTTTGGTCTGTCGTACACCCACGAAAGAAAGTGGGGGTTCACACCTCATAATGAAGCTTCCGAAGGCTATGAAGATGATGAATATGATGAATATTACGAAGTTAATAATAATTGGCAACCAAACACAACACATCAAGTAATGCTGCAAATGGATCTCCGTGAGTGGGATGTTTACGTTGATGGAAAGTGGGTTTATTCTGGGTACTACAACGTAGGTCTGTTTGAAGAGCACAGGGTCTCACACATCTATTTTGGCGCGGAGAATAAGGAGGGTTCGGAAAGCAGCCACGTGACGGTGAGCAACGTCCTGCTGTACAACCGCACAATCAGTAAGGATGAAATTGCGCTACTCAGTGCCAGCAAAGTCCCTATTCCAAACCCTGGTAAGGAGTTCTCTATTGAGGAAGCGGAGACAACAACAAATTCTGCTGCCCAGGCACCATCACCTGAAGTTAAGAAAGCATCTCAAGACGAAGAGGAAGAAACAACGCAGGAAGTTGAGGAGGCGCCACGGCCACAATCATCCGTGGAAGCTTCTGAAGGCAGTTATGCTGCCGCAGTGTCTTCTGGGGGCCGTGGCTCGCACGGACCAGGGAATGAGGAGGAGACGGAGACGGATGGCAGCAGTGGATCGGCGTCTCCACCGGCCTCATCGAGTGTGAGCACTGCCTCTCATTCGGGCGACGACGGGATGGGTGTCCGTGAAAGCACCTCTCTGCAGGAAGAAGTGCCACCACATCTCGGGAGTGAAGACATTCCGAAGGCCGACGTGGAGCGACCGATCCACGAAGAAGAAGCGACCTCTCCGGAAGGGGCCACTGAGCGGCAGACGCAAGAAACCACTGCGCCTTTGGTTGAAAATGGAGACAGTGAGGACGTTGGCACCGCACCGGGTAATGCAAGCACCCTGCCTGGGGAAACCAAGATCCCATCGGAGTCCAACGCAACAATACCCTCGGACACTGACATTTTGCTTGAGCACGGGCATTTGGGCGAGTTGTCGGGCATGGCTCTATTTGCTGAGAGCACCGTGCATGGGTGTGTGTCTCGGGTGCTGTTGCTGCTGCTTCTGGGGCTGTGGGGC